AAATTTAAACTGTCCAACTGGTAATGTCACGTGGTAAAGTGTAAATTAAAGTATACTTGTAGCAAGGTTCATAGCGATTGAATTTTGCTATTTATACACTGATTTTTGACACTTTGTTTGACACTTGAATTGTTGTCAAGTGTTAATTGGATGGGAAAAATGTTTGAAATTTATGTTGTCCAACAGGTTAATGTAAAGTGTAAACTATAGTTTACATGTAGGAAAGTTCATACCGATTGAAATTTGCTATTTGTGCATTGATTTTTGACGCGTTGTCTAATTCTTACCTTGTTGTCAAATGTCAATTGGATGGGAAAATTGTTTGAAATTTAAACTGTCCAATAGGTTAATGTCACGTGGTAAAGTGTAAACTAAAGTATACACCATAATCTGCACCGATTGAACTTTACTATTTGTGCACTGATTTTTGGCACGTTGTTAGACACTTGCATTGTTGTCAAGTATCAATTGGATGGGAAAACTATTTGAAATTTAAACTGTCCAACAAGATAATGTCACATAGTAAAGCGTAAACTAAAGCGTACACCACAGTGTACATGTTGTAACGCCCCGACCCCTAGTGGGCCGGAACGCTACTTACTTTACTTAGCTTAACCAGTGGTTTAGTAACAAGTGTATACGTTTTAGCGGAAGCTTACATCTTCGGATAATAATTTAAATAACAATACTTCAGATACTTTAAACAAAAACACTGAATCATTTTTCAAAACAACAAAATGTAATTTATTTGAAGAAATCATAACTTGTTCTCGCATTCTGCATTATTCAAAACTTTAAAAGAATAACATTGGAAAGCATTTCATAAAAATAAATCCAAATCACTTATTCACCGAATTTCCATGGGCTCGTTGCATCATTCTCCATCTTCTCCTCCATCCATGCTCGAGGTAGAATTCCTTCAATCTGTAGAGATGGGACTATACCCGTGAGTTGAAAAACTCAATAGGTGTCATAGGTGCATTCGTGATCAAACTATATATTTCAAAACATTAACTTTATAACTTTTCATACATGCCGTACCCGGAGGCACCATTTGATATGAAAGGATATGCCGTACCCGAGGGCACCATTTGGCATACGAACATTTCTTCAACATAGAAGGGTATGCGGTACCGAAGTACCATTTGATATACAACCATTAACATAGAGGGATATGCTGTACCGGAGTACCACTTGACATACAAACATTAACATGAATCGAAACTTATAACTTAACACGATTAAACACATGGCACCTCTACCTATCTTGATTGATGCTTTTGAAACTTTGAAAATTTGGATTGAAAACTTCGATGAAACTTGGACGTTGAAAGAAATGCACTCCTTGGATGTTTGAAAACTGTTGAGAATTGATGCTTGAAAACATTTCTTAAGGAAAAATAGTTTTCCTCCCTCTCTTTTTCTCTCTTGGAAACTCTTTCTTTAGTATGTAAAAGCTCTTGCTTTTGGTGTGAGAAAAAATGAGTGAAATGAGGTCTCTATTTATAGGTAAATATTCCATAACTTAAAACAAATGAAGGATCAAATTTCATTTAAGAGAGAAAACATGGGTGCCATTTAAGTTTGAGATTAAATGCTTCAATTTAGTGGGGTTTTTATTGCCAAAAACGTGGGTGGCCCCTTGAGAAAATAGTTGATGAAAATAAATATTTAAATTCTAGAGAAAAACGAGAATTTTCATTTCAGGCAGTTTCGATCGACCGGTTGTAGTCCGGTTGACACTGCACAGTCTTCAGTGTTTCTATCATAACTTCTTCTCTCGATATCTGATTGAGGTAATTCAAAGTGACTTGGAAAGTAACTTAAAGAGCTACAACTTTTATTTAAATATCATTTTCCAAATTGAATGTTTCCTATGTCTAAAATAGGTCTCAAATGAGACTAAAAATCTGAAGTATACTTTAGTCATCCAATATTCATATCTTAGTGCCACTAAGGTGTCTAGAATTATTTGGGGTTCTACATCCCCCACACCTTAATTAAAATTTCGTCCTCGAAATTTATCTTCTGATTGGGCGAATAGTGTTGGATACTTGTCTTTGGCTTCTTCTTCTTTTTCCCAAGTGGCTTCTTCTACGCCATGATGATTTCACTGTATCTTAACCAGCTGAATCTCTTTATTCCTTAGTTTATGCACTTTTCGATCCAATATCTTGATCGGTAGTTTCTCGTACGACAAATCTTTCTATACCTCCAAGCTTTGATAACTCACTACATGATTAGGATCATGTACATACTTCTTTATCATCAATATATGGAACACATTGTGCACTACACTTTTGTTTAAAACTTTGCCACATGACATTACCCTGTTGGATAGTTTAAATTTTGAACAGTTTTCCCATCCAATGTAACGCCCCAAATTTTATTGACTTAAATTTGAGGAGTTACCGATATCATTCCATAATCATACATCAAGCGGAAATAAAATTTCAAACTTAAAAACCTTAATTTATTGAAACTCAAACACTGAATCAAATAAACATAGTGTCATAAATGGAATTAAAGAGAAACATAAAATGTCTTAACAAATTTATTATGGATTCCTAAAAAAATTTCTTTTACTTGGCAAC